TGGGGCAAGGGTCTCGACAGGATCGTTGATGTGATCGAGACTCACCTTGCCTCCGCTCCCCCGGAAGGGGTAGAGCTTGTGGTTTCCTGGGCCGGCAACGATGTGTATGGTAACTACGGTTACCTTGGCTACACTTGGCACTTGACGAGCCAGTGGGTCAAGAGGCCGCAGAGTGAGCTGGACGAGATTGAACATTGGCCCGCAAAGCAGCGGCTGATGGTCGAGAAGAGCGTCCGCCGTCTCATCGAGCTGCGGAAGCACACTCGTGTCAGAGGCCTGACGGTTCTCTTGACCTGCCCAGCGAGTATGATGAAGAAATGGGTAAGTACGCCCGGCAGTTGCTGAGTGCAGGCATCAGCGTCGTTGATCCATCAAGTCTCCTGATGAGGACTACGCGTCCTGATGGGTTCCACATCGAGGTCACTGACCCGAATGTGACTGCATCCTTGCAGTGGTGGCATGCTCTCATCAGAGCCGTGTCCACCGACCGAATCATCACTCGCCGGAAGGCTGAGTTCGTCGCCAATCAGAGAAGTATTGTGTTCCGCAATCACTTCGAGCTTGGGAAGGCCGAAAAGACGCTCACGGTGCCGCCTGCTAGCCAGCGCATCCTTGAGCCATTGGACCACGCACCCATGCTTCCGGCGGAAGCCAGGGAAGAGGATGAGCAGATCGTTCTCGACCACCCTCTTCTGATGATGATGCCTGAGCCGGTCGATGATGTCGATCTCAAGCCGGAAGGCTCTGAAGAGGTGACCCAGGTTGAACACGTTCTATTCAGCCGTGATGTTGGGTCAGAGCTGCCCCTCGACCTTGTCGCCATCGATCCTGAGGCGCAAGAGGACTTTGCCTTTACGGTGGCACGTGATGTCATCAACACCACGAATGTGCTTATCCCTGACGGAGACGCCATCGAGAAGGAGGCCGCTGACGGCATCCCCACGGTGTGGGACGAACCGCCTGAGGTTCCGGCATTGGAAGATGACCGCAGACTCCCGAAAGGCACAGTCAGGTATTCGCAGTCTCTTCGCAAAGTCGGGTCGACGCCCAAGTCGAAACCCGATCCTGCCAAGCACAGGAGAATCTCGGAGACAGTCGATACCGACGACGAAGAGGATGTCGTTATGGACCTGGATCCTGATGACACCGCTCAGCCGTCGGAAGACGCAGCTCAGCCGTCGGAAGACGTTGCTGATGACTTCGAGCCATTCTTTGAGTGGTGGGGCTATGAAGACATTCCCGATTTTGCCCCAAGCCATCGCTACATGACAGATGGCAAGCGGCGAGCATTGAGCAATGCCATGAGCTTTTTCCTTCGTGGCTTCGCGAATAGTGCAGAGTCACAGGCACAACGGCGGCCACCGCCCATGATGACCTTCGACCCCGCAACGCGGGAGGTCGAATGGGACCACTTCAAAGAGCAATTGGGCAAACAGTGGCGCGGTCTCCGGTCGGAAGACGTCATGGAAGTGGTGAAGTATGGGAACCACGACAAAGATGACAACGGACGCTTTGAGTTGCGCGTCCTCCACTTCATCGACCACACTGAGATTCATGGAATCCGTGCATTCCAAGGGCACTGCCGCGATCTCATCTCTGACGAGACTGATCTTGTGGATATGCACAGTGACAGCTATGCTTTGTGTGACGACTACAGGCCCACCATGCATACGCGCCCTGCCGTAGGGGTCACTGGCCAAATCCACAACGACTGGGTCAGAATGCATCCGATCGGATACCATGCAACATATTGGAGCAACTTTTAAATTTTCCAATATTGTTAGTACCGGTCTCATCCCAGGCGGTGTCACCCTCGGCGGAAGCACGGGGAGAGCCTTCACAATGATGGCTTCCCTCCCTCAGTGGGAAAGGCCGAACAACGCAGGCCTGCGACCTGGCGCTGAGGTTGAATTCGCTATCGACCTCCAACTCGCGTGCCTGGAAGGGTGTCGCATTCTCCTGACAAAGAACAATGTTCTGCAGACCCCAGATTGGTTGTCCAATCGCTACCTTATGTTTGCTTACGATCGCAGAACCGGGAAACCCGTATGGTTTAACCGCTCGTACGAGCTCACGCGAGCTCGGGTGTCCAAAGCCCGTGATGCATATGTCAAGCGTCAGGAGATCCTGCCGGTCTTTAACCAAGACCTCATCGAACGCGCAGCGGAAGCTGACGCCAATTGCATCATGGATTACGTTGATCTCTGTTACCCGATCCACAATGAAAATTTGGACTGGGTTGAGTTCTTGGGTATGTTCATGGACATGCAGAAGCCCTCGCACTTGCGTGAGGTTGAGCAGTTTCATGTCGATGGTCGTACCATCTGCTTTGAGCAGGGTAGTCCGCTGGAGGGAACTCCGTGCGAATGGACTTTGGATGCCCAGGTCTACTTTTCGCCCATCGGATTGACCACCGAGCGCCCGTTGCGTGTGGAGCGCAAGCACTACTCAGTGTGCCTCAACGTGCACTTCCCAAAGCTGCGCTGCCCTGATGATAGGTGCAGGTCTCAGATGCTTGACGGCTATCTCAATTGCCCCCGCTGCCAGCGAAAGTTGTTCAACCCGAGCGACATCTCCCACATTGCGGAGCTGGCTGATCTGCGGGCGGAAGCCGCGCAAGGTGGAGCTAACCACAGTCTCCACTATCTGGCACCAAGAGCAGCTATCAACACTCGTCCACACGAGCACACCCGTCAGGGGGCCGATGTTAAGAAAAGCATCGCTGCGACTCTCAAGGAGAAGTGCAAGAAAATGGTGGCGAAAGCAGCAGAAGGGACACATGGTTCCCTGCGCCAGAACCTGAAGTACGAACCCTTCAGCGCCTTCAATGTGTTTTCGAAGGGGATGACGGTGACTTCACTCGACGAAGTCGAGATGTTCGCGCGCTTGCGACTTCCCGCCCCGGGAACGGGGACGGAGGCAAAGAGAGGCTTTGCCGGATCTCATACGTCCGATGCACGCACTGCTCTCATTTTCCCTCCTGTCGACGACATTATTCGCGGGGAGTACAATTACCAGAGGAACATCTTTCTCGAGCTGGCCAAGCACTGCTATTTCTGTTTCCAAGATCGTTTTTACTTGGTTCCTGAAATCGCTGTGTTGATCCGTGCCACTCAGTTGGCCTCTGAGGTCCGCAATCTGCGTCCTTTCACAATCCTCCGCCATGACGGCATCGAGTACCAGCCCGTGACCGGGACTGTCCCTGAGATCATGGCCGACCTCGTCGGTTTGCTCCGCAACCACGCACACCGTGCTCTTACCAACAAGGAGCGTAACCAGCAACGGGTTACTGTGCAAGTCGGGATAGGGCAGACTCCCTTGGAGATTCCAGCATCGCTTGGAACTATGGGCAGGTCTCAGATGTACCCGCGGCTGGATTAATCGCGAGGTGGAAGACCGAATGGTCCGACATGGTGCCACTCCCATTGGCGCCATGCGTGTGCCGCCTCCACCGCCGTCACCATCCGGAAGGACTGGTCCTGACTCGTCGCTGCCTGCAGCAACACCCAGTGTTCGGCCTCCACCGGCCCCTCCGAGCCGAGGTCGCTCACCTGGCGGTGCAGCTTCGTCATCCACGGATCGTCCAATGAGCACTTCTGTACCAAAAGCTGCAAAGACGAAGGCAAGGCCGGCATCTGCCCGAAGCATTACGCCGCCTCCTCCAAAGCCAAGTGCCAACAGACCAGTGCAGCCGCCTTACCCGCCTACTGCAAAAGCTGATCCGAAGGCTGGCGCCGTTCGTGCACCTGAGGAATACATCACTGCAGATGAATGGGACAACTACTTTGCCGGCCGTGGCGAAGTCAGAGGCTTTGCTGTTGGCGATGCACCAGCTCCGGTTGCTGCCCCTGCTGGGCCACCTGCCACAGCCGCCGGAGGGCGTGCTCGCACTCGCTCACCGCGCCGCCATGACTATGGTGGTGGTCGAGACTATCAAGAGGCCGCGAACGACAGGTTGCGTCACCTGCGCCTGTGTGATGAGGCAATTGAGCAGCAACTCGAGAACCTGACGGTCACTCTCCCAGGCTTCCCAGCTGATCGCCTAAGGGACTGGACTGACCAAGACGGGAACGGATTCGATCCCACCCAGCCAATGCCTCGCAATTGCACTCGCACAGATGCTTGGTATTGGGCAGTTCTCCGTGCCCGTTATCTTGAGGAGCTGTCGCCCAACGAAGTGCCTTTTGTGATTCCCGCTTACACCGACCGGGAGGTCTTGGTTCAGCATCCGGTTGAGCAGATTACCTGGTTCCTGCGTGGCTGGGAGGAGTTTCGCCAAGACTCCAATGGAGCATGGTACAGGGCATACTAGTCCGTCGCATCCGACACCGGAAGGTGCTCCGCGTCTTGAGGGCACCGTGTCATGCAAGGATGCGTGAAATCGCGACCAACAGCGATCATATTTCAAAGTCAGTTTTCTGCGATTCACCGCACTGGCGTGCTGGTTCTTTCTCAAATTCTTTTGCATCGCCACGCCCGTGCATCACCACCCTGGCGGGTCGGTTCAAGTGATCGTCTCAGGGGGTAGGTAGTGAGTCCGCATCGCAGTTTGGCTTAAGGGCTCGCAAAGCGAGTACCTGCCATTACACAGTAGCTCTTTTCTTACAGTTGTTCGCCTCCTCCGCTGCGCTTCAATGCGCGGGGGGTGTTTTAACTCTGTTTGTATGCTAGTACTCGTTGCTACTGTATGGCTCAAGTATGAAAAAGGATTCGTGCGTCCTGCTGTTAACAATAAAAGCCCCCCCCCAAAAGCCGCAAAACCCCCCCCCGAAGTCCCTAATTAAACCCCCGAGCCTCCCAAGGCCCCTATAACCCTCAAAGGAAATTCCGGAAGCCTCTGAGCTTTGAAGATCTCACAGAGCTTGGACACCCAACAGACCAGCAAAAAGGAACTACGTCCGAAGTCTCGTGTCTTTGCAAGGGGTATTGAGATGGTGTTGCACGTGCTGAGACCCCGGGTGCGGACAGCCAGAAGCCCGAAATCTGAAACAATAACCCAGGATAACTGTATCATCGCCTACGGCATCTTCCTCACAGATCCGGATGGCAGCGGCGGGACAGATGCGGTGACTTGGTCCCGAATTGGGTTCGCAGAAACTCCACAATCTCTTCTAAGACTGTATTCCCCAACGTCTGGTTGGGTTCCGCAAGAGATAGAATCCTCACCTAAACAACATTGAAGTTTCGACGTGCCCCACAGCCCACAGGCTGAAAGCTTTAGGCAGCAGTGTTCAAAGTGAATGTCACTGAACCCTACTGTAGCCTCGAAGACGACAATCGAAAACATGTCCTGTAAGTAACTGAGGCTGTGTTTTAGACTTCAAGGTTCAGTTCTCACGCTGCTGGCTGGAGGATGTACCCTAATAGGCTTTTTGAGTTTAGGGCATACTTGGGAGACACCAAAAGACTCTTAATATCGCAAGTCCCCTTTCTTCGAGAAGGGTCAGTGGGTGTCTGGCGTGTGGGTAATTGAAGTGCCTCCACTTTGCTACTGAGCGATCAGGGAGTTTGGTAGACCGGATGAGAAGTATCTCACATGACAGGGGAGTTTTAACAATCATGACTACAACTACCTTGCTTCTAACCCTGCCTGTTTTCTAAGCACCTTCATGCTTTCTTAGGGATCCATACATTCAGTGCTGGGGACTTTGGAGTTTATGTAGAGGTTTAAGTTTGAGGCTGCAGGGTTTAGTCTTCGAGTAGCTGCAAACTCAAGGCCTTTCCTCTCAGAAACGCAAACCTCAACATGAAAAGCCTCAAGTAACCCTCAACTTTGACACCATCCGTAAGAGAAGCCCTAAACCTTCAACGAACATCCAAGGTGGCGTGCCTCAATTCCATTGCGACTTTCCTGCTCACCTACCAGTCGACGCTCGGTTTGCGGACCCTGCAAAGCCGTACTTGGAGGTTCATGGGTAGTTATAAGTAGGGTTATAAGTCCCCTAATATGGGCTATGACTATAGTTATCCTCCTTTAAAAATAACTAGCCATGAACCTCCAAGTAGAGGAACCTTACAAAGCAGTCTGAAGACATGTGAAGACCTCACAGAACCTTTTCACACACACCTGTAAACCAATCTAGCACTTTGTAGTTGCGTAAACATATCGACATAGTTCTGGTAAGAGTCAGTTACCCACAGAGCCCAATATCCCTCAATTAAGGAATATGGCTTAAACCATAATATGAAGCCCTATATATACTTTAAGCCATATTCCTTAAGGGGTATTGGGCTCTCTGGGTACCTGAGCCTCTGAACCTGGGGCCTGCGTCTCGACCGAGGCATAAGATGGAGCTTGTCATCAACGGCCACAAGAACGCGACATGGCGTAGATTTCATGCACTAGAAACCCTCCGCAGCGACCCTAAACGGTAAGCCCAAATCTGTAGCACCGAAACTCTGAATTCTGACCCTCCCTTGAAAGCCCCAAAGTGTTGAACCGGAAGTGTATGTGAATTGCAGGCCCGGTCTGCGGAGGCTTCGTCATCCTAGGCTTCTTGAGGGTGGTATACATATGCGGATGCACAGCACGTAATGATAAGGTTCCAACCCAATACTTTGAATTCATGTCCTCTTGCAGGCCTTATGTAATTTACTACGACGTGCCCCGCACCCCATTTTTTTGTACGGCCCCCCCATATCACGGTCACGGCCAACCCCAAGCCTTCAGTGCTATTGAAGCCGTGCGCGCCGATGCCTGAAACACCCAGAGAGCCCAATACCCCTTAATTAAGGAATATAGCTCAAATCATAATATGAAGCCCTATATGATTTGAGCCATATTCCTTGATGAAGGGGTATTGGGCTCTCTGGGTACCTGAAACTCTGAGTCCTCAGCTGGGACCGACCCTGCGCCTTGAAGCCTCGGCAGATCCCAGTTCTTGCGTTGCCAAAGTCTCAGTTGAAATTCCCCAACCTACTTGGAGGTTCATGGGTAGTTATAAGTAGGGTTATAAGTAGGATAACTATACTTATAACTCGTATTAGGGGACTTATAACCCTACTTATAACTACCCATGAACCTCCAGGTAGAGGTTTCAGGCCGAGATCCGAAAGCCCTCAAACCCCAGCGAAGGTGAAGGGTGATGAGCAGACGTGGATGGACCGGCCGCACATCCGCTTCATCGGTGAGACCGGGAAGGAGGACTCCGTCGATGTAGAGACAAGTCTTGCAAGGAGTACTGGCGACAATGAGGGTAGATGGTACCAGTCATTGCAAGCTTCATCGTCTTTCTTGCGAGGTACTGCTCACCAGTATCTATCTTGCTTCGTGCTGCTTCTTAGTCGGTGTTCTCAAGTTTTTGCAGTGGTTCTAGAGAGAATCTTGTTAGATCTTAAGCGGGCAATGCCGGATCACTAGACTAGTTCCTTCTCTGCAATCATGTGTCCAGGTCCAGACTCGATTCGTTTCGCAATTACCAGAAAACCCAAATGCCTAGACCATGAATCGTAGATACACTGCAGCCAGTAGAAACTCTTCCGGGTTTGGGAGTCGCGGTTTTGGGGGTCTTTGGAGTTTTGTTGGGGGTTTTCCCGTCCTTGGCCTTCCCTTGTTGAGCTTATACATAGAGAAATCGAGGGACGTAGTACGTAGTTATCTTATAGAGTTATAAGTACCATAACACCAATTAAGGTCCCCATTAAGGTACCTTTAAGTCTATATAATAACTACTTACTAAGTCCCCCGAGCCTCGAAGTAAGGGCGGGCTTAGGGTTGTGGTTGTTGACTTCGGGGTTCAGGGTCCCCACGTCCTTCCTTCTCAAATCTAGCCCGAATCGAGAGGTCGGAGTAGCTAGCCATGCTAATCCTGAAGGTTCCTTATTGCATTTATAGTTAGTGTAGTATACCTCGGAACCCGATAAGCCCTACACCTTTAACCCGAAACCCGAAAGCCCTGTAAAGAGCAGGACACGAAGTGGTACAACCACAAGCAGAACGATGCACTGGGTTCCCGCGGCAGCATTCACAGTGTTTCGGTTCCTCCCAGCGGATGGTGGAAGTGGCCTCAAGTCTCAGCAATGTTCTTCCCCAGGGTTGGATACTATAATTACTATAGTCATATGTGGTATCAGATACCCCAAAGCCTTTTGGTAATTATCCTAAACCCGAAACCCTAAGCCTTCAACCCACAGTTCCCAAAGGCTGGAATCCCAACTTTAAACCCCAATGCTCGAAGCCTCAAAAATCATAGGCTAACTTAGGGCTACAGTATAGCGCTTCGGGTTTAGGCATTCGGGTTGAGGCAATAATACGTTCATTAGCAACAAGCATAACTAACAACAGCGAGTTTAGTTCCAAGCATATTGCTGGGAAGAACAGCGCTATGATGTAACCATAGCAAGACCGATGATAATCGGGATACAAATAATCATGACGGTGAAGATGCTAGTGTCACTAATAAAGGACCTCTGGCCGTCCTAGCTTCTAAGTCCTACGCTACAAAAAACCCTACGCCCCAAGCTCCAAACCCTCAAATCCTAAACGGCCAGACCCCTAAACCCTAAACCCCTAAACCCCTAAACCCTAAGCCTCCACAAAATCTGGCTGGAGGCTACTTCCTCTGGGCACGTACACAGCTTGCGCTGGCTGGGAAGATGCCTCTGACAGGCTAGTTGTCAGGGTTCCTTTGTGGGTTTTTTCAGGGCTATACGCCGGATTGAGGTTTTGTTTGGGGATCCGGACTTGGGGTTTAGGGTTTAGGGTTTAGGGTTTAGGGTTTAGGGTTTAGGGTTTAGGGTTTAGGGTTTAGGGTTTAGGGTTGTTGTGTTTAGGCTACACTAGGGTTGTTTGGGGCTCGAGGATTTGAGTGTAGGTGTTGTAAGGTTGTTTTTCTTATGTCAAGCTGCTGTAGGGTCCTTTAGGTCTGGGGCCTAGGGCGTGCATTTTCTTCTTGAGGCTGCTGTTGGGAAGTCTGGCTTGATCTGTCGCTGAAAGCTCTCCATGGGGGTCGAAAGAGTTAGAACGGGGGTTTAGGGTTTAGGGTAAAGGGTTCTGCTATAAGCCCGAATGTAGTTCAAAAGGAAGTGCTACCCCCTTAAACCCTAGAACCTAGACCCTTACACCCTCGATGTCAGGGTCCGGGAAGGAATCATCTTGCTGACCTAAGGCTCTTTTCTTATAGGATCAGTGGACTTAGTAAGTCAGTGAGGTATGTACCCGAATTGGGGTTATAAGTACTCACAAGCATGGTTACCTTACTTAGAACCCTACTTAGTAAGTCCCCTGATCCTTTCAGTATACTATCTTCAGGAGTTTCGGCTTTAGGGCTTGTGAACATCAGACAGTAGGGGCAAAGGGTACCAGGATCGAGTGACGTGGTCCGTTTGCTAGCTACCCTAAGCTGGAAAAGCCCTTAAGCCAGCAAGCCCAAAACCCTTAAAAATCCACCCAAATTCGGATTTCTTTAACTCTTAAACCCCTAAACCCGAGACCCATAAATCGTAAACCTCAGCTTAAGAAGAATGAGGGTTTCTGAGTTTCATGATTTGTCCAGTACCTTGAAAACTTCATACGGGTTCCCATGAGGGTTCTATGAGTGTGCAATAAGGCTTCGAAGGCAGTGGAGGGCTTCGGGCTTTCTCATTTGGGTGTAACATAGGGGCCTGAAGAATTACCAACACTATTTGGGGGTTCCTTATGGTAGTTATAGTATAACGGCCCCAAAACCCTACTCTATGCATTAAGGCCTCTGCATTAGGGTTCAGGGTTCTGATTTGGTGCCGAGGGTGCAGGTCCTTCTCGTAGTGGATGCTGAAGTCCTCAACTCCTCACAGGGTTTAGGGTGTGGGTTAGGGAGACCTCAACCCCTCAGACTAATCCCTACTCGCCATGCTTAACCACTGAGCCCCTACATCCGCGTCTGCAAAGGGGACCACCTGAAGCTCTGCGCACAGCTCTTCGATTTCCTCCGCACCATCGAGTGCTGGGAGGTTCGGATGGCAGAGCCCGCGCAGGGATGGGCATCGATTAGCAGCCCCAAGCTCTGGAGCCTAAACCCCTAAACCCTCAAATAACCCTAGTCTTCAAAAAGGCCTGCAAAAAAACCCTCAAATAAACCTAAACTCTGCACCCGTTTTCCCTAAATCAAAACCAAAGCCCGAGGAGCCCGCAGCTTCCGGTTGTAGGCACTGTCCAGTTGGCCTTGCACGCCATCGAACCGATGGGTACTCTACACCCCTCAATCCTTGAATTCTTATCCCGAAACCTTGAATCCCTAAACCCTAAACCCTAAACCCTAATCACCAAACCTAAACTGTCAGCCCGAAAGCCTGACCACTAAGCCCAAATCTTAATTAAGCGAAGTGAGCTGCAGCTTCTGGGTATGCAGTACAAACCGCAAAGCCCCTGCTCGACCCCCAGCCGACCGTGTAAAACCCTAAACCTGCAAAACCCTCAACCCTAAACCCAAGTGTAAAAATACCTTGATTTGCAACACCTCTTGCCCGAAGTTTTTGTTCCAATCAGCTCGCAGAGGGACCTGCTAAGCCGTTGCGCTGTAGAGTTCACACTGTCAAGAACAAGCACGAGCACTCTTAAAACGTGGTATCTCATGAGTCGTACACCCCGAAATCGGTAGGCATTAGTGATCAGGAAGCTTCTACCCTGAACCCTAAACCCTGGAACGCTTGAGAGGATTTAGATGCAGGGCATTGGGAAGAGCACTCAGCGCAGCAGCTTCACTGCACAATCTGACATATTTCAGGTCCGGGGTTGAGGGTCCCTGAGTTACGGTATGGGGTAATGTAGGAACCTGATTAAGAAACCGTGGCCCCATAACCCCCAAAAATAGCCCCCAAAAATATTGGGATTCATATAAGGAACCCGAATAAAGACCCAAGGTCTCTTAATCAGGTTCCTACATGACACATTAAACCCTATACCCTGAAAGCCTTCAATCCCAGACTCGGCCTGCTTGTCTGCAGATTGCTAACCCCAAACCCTGCACCCTAAACCCTAAACCCTGAACCCTAAATCCTAAACCCTAAACCCTAAACCCTGAACCCTAAACCCTAAACCCTAAACCCTAAACCCTGAACCCTAAACCCTAAACCCTAAACCCTAAACCCTGAACCCTGAACCCTAAACCCTGAACCCTAAACCCTAAACCCTAAACCCTAAACCCTAAACCCTAGATTAGGAGTTTCTGGGAATCTCGGCACCCGGATTGCTTTGTGGTTCCGGCTTCGGGTTCGAAGACTCCGTGGCTAGGCATCGGGCTCGGATATTAAGATCACCATAGTGTCTTGAGTCATAGAAGATATATGGGAGTTTCCGATTTTAAGGAGTTTCCTATTTTGAGGTCCTTATAATGAGGATCCTACTATTTAGGGTACTATATGAGGGTCCCTTATGTTCGGAAACCCCCATAGAGGTGGATAAGGTAGATGCAAGGCACCGGAGCCACTGCCATCCACAGGAGTCCTTCAGGGGTTGATCTCAGTATCTTCATATCCGCAACCCCAAAGCCTAAGGGCCCTCAGAACCCCTTAAGCCCTGGCTCCGTTTGCGGTAAACCTTCAATCAGCAACGTTATGAGTACCTTGAGCTCTCAAGTAGACATGAATCCCTAGCCCGTTTCAGTCCTTGAACCCAAAATACTCTTTAACCATAAGCCCTTAAACCCCTAAAGCGCTTCATATTAAGCCCTGGGACCCTGAAGCCCGTAAGCTTGCAATCCTCAAGACCCTCAAGCCCTTAAAGCCCTTATGCCCTTGAAACCCTTAAGCCCTGCAGACCCCTAAGCCCGAAACCCTAATCCCTAAACCCCTAACCCCTAAACCCTAAACCCTAAACCCAAAACCCTAAACCCCTGAACCCTGAACCCTGAACCCCTAAACCCTAAACCATAAACCATAGACTGTACACCGAAGTCCAATTGCCAACCTCCGAGGCACGCCTCCTCTCTGGGTCCAGTGCTTGCAGCCGTCCGAAGCTTCAAGAAGGCATTTTGGGGGTGTCGGGTTCCGGGTTTAGGAGTTTTTGACTTTAGGTCCAGAGTTTGCAGGGCTTTTCTCTGAAGTGTAGGGCCTACAGTGCTTTTCTGAAGTGTAAGACCTTTGAAGTTCGAGGGTTCGGGTGCTTAGGGTTGGGGTTTGCTCTTACACACAAACCTTATTTGAAGGACTGCGTGGGCTTTCCTGGAACTTTCAGAACCAGTCCTATGCACCCGAACAAAGAATACCAAATCAACTGAATAGGGCTTCTGATGATCAGGTCCGAAGATCGTAGCCCTAAGCCCTGAACCCCAAGCCCTAAACCCTGAGCCCTAACCCTAGTCCACAGGTCATGGCAGCCAATCCGGGATGGATATTCCCGGGGAAGAGTGACACGCTAGAGGCCGGTGTTGTTGCTTGTTGTGATAGCGGCAGGAACGCGGTTTCTTATGGGTTCCGAAAAGCTTCAGGAACGGGTCAGCAGGTTTCCTGGGAATATCATACGGTTTTGTAAGGTTCAGGTGCAAGAGTTTGGAGTTCCGAGAGATTCGCAAAGTAGGGCCGCAGGTACAGTGCGGCATCGTTTGCGGTTTAAGGGCCCATGCGCAACTGTAACACCTGCAGGCACAGCAGATTCGGAGCAGTTTGATCAGTCTTGGGCTTGAGCTTTTCTGAGTCGGGCCTCGAGCTTTTGAGGTTAGCCGTTTGGAGCCTTTAGGATTCCCACGCTTTCTTTTCATGTTTTTTCCGGCAAAAGATGTCTACGAAGCGCCTCAGCACCTATACTAAACCCCTAAACCCCTAAACCCTAAGCCCTAAACCCTAAACCCTAAACCCTAAACCCTAAACCCTAAACCCTACAGAAGGGGACGCCGTGGACGCTTGTTTCTTCCTTGTCGGTTGTGTTCCCAGCCGGTGCCCTGACTTAATGACTTAATTTTTTTAAGTCATTAAGTCGGGGCCCTCCCGGATCCAAGATCCAAGATTGCACGAAAAAGTTTCTTGGATCCATCTTGGATCCAGCCGGGGCCCTGACTTAATGACTTAAATTTTTTAAGTCATTAAGTCGGGCCCCGCCCGGATCCAAGATGGATCCAAGAAACTTTTGTCTGCAATCTTGGATCTTGGATCCAGCCGGGGCCCTGACTTAATGACTTAATTTTTTTAAGTCATTAAGTCGGGGCCCTCCCGGATCCAAGATCCAAGATTGCAGGAAAAAGTTTCTTGGATCCATCTTGGATCCAGCCGGGGCCCTGACTTAATGACTTAAATTTTTTAAGTCATTAAGTCGGGCCCCGCCCGGATCCAAGATGGATCCAAGAAACTTTTGTCTGCAATCTTGGATCTTGGATCCAGCCGGGGCCCTGACTTAATGACTTAATTTTTTTAAGTCATTAAGTCGGGGCCCTCCCGGATCCAAGATCCAAGATTGCAGGAAAAAGTTTCTTGGATCCATCTTGGATCCAGCCAGGACCCTGACTTAATGACTTAATTTTTTTAAGTCATTAAGTCGGGGCCCTCCCAGATCCAAGATGGATCCAAGAAACTTTTTCTGCAATTTTGGATCTTGGATCCAGCCGGGGCCCCGACTTAACGACTTAAGTTTTTTAAGTGTTTAAGTCGGGGCCCCGGCTGGATCCAAGATCCAAGATTGCAGAAAGATGTTTTTTGGATCCATCTTGGAGCCGGGGCCCCGATTTAAACACTTAAGTTTTTCCGAATCTTTAAATCGGGGCGCGTGGCTCTCGGAGCGGGTCCAAGAATTTTTGTTTCTGCAATGTTGGGTCTCGGACCCAGGGGGCCCAGCATTGCGTCTGTCTGCCACATAACGGAAACCTCAATGGAATTCCACCTTTCCACATGTGCTGCGTCCAAAGCCACAGAGCTTTGCACATGTGGAGATGTGGAATTCCATTGGGCTTTCCATATTTCCAAACCTGTTGACCTTAATTCTGCAGAGCTCAGGATCATAGGGCTCCCAATAATTATGTACTATAGTCTATTCCACCAAACCAGACTACAGGTGTGCCGCTGATATACTATAGTAGCCATTTGTTTTTACACCATTGCGACTATGCAGCACTGTAACGTCCAAGGTTATCCTATATTGCGTTGGTGCTAGACTAGGCTATGTTTGAATGTAGTAAGTTGCACTACCATATACCAAGCCCCTTTGTGCTATGCTGGATTGCACGATACCGCATTGCATTGCATAGCAGTCGACACAGTACCACTCAATATTTGATAGTTAATCGTCATCTATGCTCGAGTTTACTGTACTGGGTTTGCCCGTATTGAAAGGTACTACATTGCACTTTGCTATACTAGACTGCATTACACCATACTAGATTATGGCGTCAATGCTTATCTTTAATACATTGTACTATGCTACGCTCTAATAACCTAAATTGAAACATTGTATATCATATCATATGCATAGCCGATACAAGCAATTGAAGGCCCTTCGATTAGTCCAGTGAAAGAAGATTAGCCTAATGGGAAGTCGAACTCGTGATTTTATTCAGTTTACTCATCGTATACGTTGACATAACACATTCACTAGCAAAGAAAGCACAGCCTCAATTCGTACTTGCGATATACCCCGCCATTTTGGCACCGAGAGTACTGCGAGCAGATACCCTGTGGTGTCGACCCCGAGCCTTGTAAGTGGATATGTGGTGTGCATGGTACCACATTCTTCGGTTCATGCACGCAAATCGCTCTTTCTATGACCTATGCTCGTGCTTTATTTAGTGAACTAGAACTGACGGCAGAATAGTACACTAGGCTCCTGACTATAATTCGCTATACTATGCTAGCGCACTATACCTTGCTATATCATGCTATGCTCTACTATACCCTCCTAAAATAGTAAACATAGTAAACAGGGCCATGCAACAGTGTATTTTCCTACACCATGCTGCGGTAGTGCTATACTAGACTATCGTATCCCACATAGTGTATGCTATACCACACTGCAATATAGCGTCAACACTACAATATGCTATCGTGCACTTTACTGCCAATGTCATATCACAACATATTGTAATACACTAGACTAGAACATAAGGCTGATCTCTGTCTTCTACCTTCGACCTACAGTATTCATATTCAACAGGTTCGTATGATATCAGACTACCATAATCTGTATCTATAGCACAGTATACAGCTGTCTGTATCATGCTATACTACACATACATGATGAACTAGACTGTATGTCGCAATACTGCACTACCATATTACGGGGCACCATGCCATATTATATCTTACGCTCCAGTATACGGGCACCATGCCATACTATATCTTACGCTTTACTATACTATACCGTACTTTTGTATGCACATGCGAAAAGTACCACAATGCCACGCCTGGTGCCTCATAAGTTATATCAAAGCCCGGCCGGATCCTGGTCAGAGGTTTTTGGGTAAGCTTAGCTTAACATTGGTTCATGAGAAGCTTCATGAGGAGCAAGCAGGCCATAAGATAGAATCTACCGAGAAGACATCGTAATTCGCGCTGTTTCATATGGCGTCTATCTATAAAGAGCCTTGGATCAAGGTAATATACGGATAGGAAACTACATGAAGGTGGGTCTTCGAAGGGGTGACCATGGCTGCTTCTGGATGGGTGTTGCTCATTTTATGTTTTCGACTGCTTGATTTTGTGATCCGGTTTTTCACAAACAAGCGTCCACAGCGTCCTCCTCCCAAACCCTAAACCCTATACCCTTCAAGACCCAAGTCTTGACTCACCCAGGGCCAGGGACATTCAAACAAAACTGCACTAGCCTCAAGCCGAAACCCTAAGCCCGTAAACCCCTAAACCCCTAAAAACTAAACCCTAAACCCTAAACCCCTAAACCCCTGAACCATAAACCCTAAACCCATCCTTAGCGACCTGAAATTCCAAAAGCCCTACAACTTGGCCACGTCGCTGCGAGGTTCTTGAGAAGAGCTTAGCTGCTTCCCTGAAGCAGATCCTCCCCAACGAGGTCCGAGCCATTGGGAATGAGGGCGTGGGGGTTTCGGGTTACTTTACGTGTTTCCTTAAGGGTTGCTACAAGGGTTTCTATCAGGGGTTCATAGAGTTATAAGTATCCTGAACAGCGACGCTAATCGGGATTATGGTACTTATAACTCTATAAAATAACTACTTACTAGGTCCCCCCCACCATCCAAGTAGGGCAGATCAGGGCCTGGTTACTTAGCCACGGTTCCCATGCGATCTACCTGACCTTCAGCCCCAACTTTGCACCCAAACCTTAAAACTCTAATGCATGAAGCTGTGAGCCTAAATTAACTGCCGATAAGATTCCACAGGGTTCCTTAGTCCTTATTCTGTCTTTACTAGAAAGGAGCCAGAACGCTGTTCTAATTAGTAAGGCCCGTAGCCTGTTTCTCAACGCGTCAGCCCTGATTAAGGGCTCGGGGATCGGCTGGGGTGGTGAGCACCGGGCATCGATTCATGAAGCCGGCCACGCTGTATCTGAACAAGACGGTCGGGGCTGAAACTTGTTAGGGGTTGTGCGCCAGAACCAGGACTATACTGTCCACCACGCTGGGGCCGGACTACCAAAACCCATACTCTACCTGAGCCACCAAGCACCTGTCGCTTAGAGATGTATGAGGAAATCAAAATCACAACAAGGGAGCCCTAAACAGATCGTGTTTCAAGGTTCAGGTCAACCCCAAGCCGAGTCGGACGACGAATTGTTGGGACGCTGCCAGGTAGTCAAGCCGAGGGCGAATGCAAAGGATGCTGACGGAGCGCCGCCCGGCACGGTCAGCAAGAATGGTCCTCTCCGGGTCAAGAGGAGGGGTTACTTGGAGGTTCAAGGGTAGCAGCTATAAGTTGGGTATAAGTCCCCGAAGATAGGACATAACCATAGTTATCCTACCTATAACCCTACGTATAATGTCTACCCATGACTCTCCAAGCAGGTCGTGGGGCAGGTTTTAGACTGGGCTATCTAGGTGGTCGGGATTGCATTGAGGGTTGGGGGATCAAGCTTCCGGGTTCAACCCCGAAGGAATGCAGTCTTGATGTGGGGCTTTTTCTTGTATGTCACCGCCGTTTCGGATCCAATTTAAACACTTTCTCACCTCTCAGCGTTGGGTTATGGTTCGGCGACTTACAGGATCGTGGAATTTAGTATGTAAGATTATAAGTACCCCAAGTGTGTAAGTGTGGTCTTGTACGTACTTATAAGTACAGTTGCCTGACTTACAGCCCTAGTTACCAAGCACCTGATCTTTTGAGTACTCCTGAAGCCTCCATGGTAAACCCAAATCGCGAGCCGTATGGTGGCCTCGACAAATCACCACCCCTCATAGACACTAGAGTCGCTCGTACAGCAACTCTTATAGAAACCGCCAACATAGACCTGACCTGACTCTTGTAATATGAGCCCTGCAAAGAGGCACAGCATAAACAGAATTCCTAAAGAAACCCATCAAGGAGCCCTATTGGTATGATAATAGGATTCCCTCTAAGGGTACTCTAGGGTTCTAAAATCGGTTTCCCTTTAAAGGCACCCTACAGAATCCCTGAAGGAACCCTAAGGGTATCAGGTATCATGATAAGGTTCCCTTTGAGGGTACTATAGGGTTCTATAACCAAGTTCCCTTTAAAGGCACCCCACAGCCAGCCCATGCCCAGAGAGCCCAATACCCCTTAGTCCTTAGTTAAGGAATACAGCTTAAATCAGAGTATGAAGCCCTATATAATTTAAGCCATACTCCTTAGTTAAGGGGTATTAGAATCCCCTAAACCCTAAGCCTCTAGATCCCTTATAGATCCCTTAAAGGAAGCCTAGGTATTCCTTAAGGGGCCCCTTGGGCTCTCTGGGTGCCACGTGAGGCTCATCTTCCTGTGCTATCCCCTGGAGGTCGTGGACGATGCGATGGGTCGGCGACTCAAGTGGGCCTTCGGGGTTCCTTGAAAAGGGTTTAGGGTTTAGGGTTTAGGGTTTAGGGTTTAGGGGTTTAGGGTTTAGGGTTTAGGGTCTACATGGGGGTTTCCGAAAAATAGGGTACAAGAGTGGGCCTTTGGGGTTCCTTTGAAGGGGCTCTTATATGGGTGGCTGTCAAAATTAGGGTCCCTTTTTTGGGTACCTGAAATGATAGGTGCCGTATGATAATGAGGACCCAAAAAGGTGCCCTAATTTTGACAACTACCCATAAGGGATCTATGAGGGTTCTATACGGGTTTGAAGCATGGGTTTAGGGTTTGAGGGCTTTGGGATTCATGGTGTTTCGGGTTTCAAAGTTTTTGGGGTTCTAGGGACCTAGGGTTTGGGAGTTTAGCTTTTCAGCGGATATGAAGTTTATGGTTTCAGACAGAGGGTCCCTGGGCTAAAATTGAAGGCTTATGGTCTGAGGGTCTAGGAGTCTATGGTTTATGGTCTACTACGGGCCTTGAGGTTCAGGGGTTGGGCTTTAGGATTCACGGACCGAAGAACGGGTCAGGTAATGCTGGGGTTGCTGTTCCATCAGTTTTGGCTCCTTCTTACACAGCACCCGAACTATCTGCAGCAGGAGCCCGGACATTCCCTCAAGAAGCCTTAGGGCACCGAGAGATATCCCTAGAGACTCCCAAGACCCCTTAAACCCTTAACTCAGCAATATAATATGGGGGCCTGAATAATTACCTATACTATTTTGGGGGTTCCTTATCACAAGTATAGTATAATGGGCCCCGAAACCCTATTCTAATTATTAAGGCCCCGATATTATCTCAACTTGTCGCGAGGGGGGATTTGCAGTCTAGGCCGTATAGGGGTTGTTCCGTTAGAGTCCCGCTTAAGGCCCTCTTTACAAGAGGGACGCCGTCTGCTGGGAATCCAAAATGAACCATATTCAAGGAAACCATTCACAGAACATTAGGGCATAAAACAGGGATACTAGTTTGAGGATTCCTTATTATAAGTATAGTATCATGGGCCCCAAAACCCTATTCTAATCAGTGAGGCCCCTATATCATAATACCCTTAGTAGCCCTACTAGTTACGATTATAGAACCCTTGAAAAAGAGCCCTTTAACGGAACACTATTCTACTCGTTTAGGTCCCTACATTTTTTTGAAGCTCCGGCAGCCTCGACTAGCTTGTCAATGAGGTGCCCTTATCCTCCAACAGATGGAAAAGATCACGGGCCACATCGCAGTATGCCGATATCGCAAGGTCGCGCAGCGTGGGTTTGATGGTAAAGGTCTTCCGGCTCAATGTTTATACAGGGTTTAGGGGATATTTGGCCTGCCTTATGAAGGAAACACGTTGCTGAAAGTTGAGGCTCTGCGGTGGAAATGACGGACTTGCTATCTTGCTGTGATGAACCTGGTGTGTCCTTGAAGGGATCCCGGATAAGAACCATTCTCCCGCAGGACAGCTACTGGTGCAAGGACTACAAGGAGACACGGCTGCAGGTGTAATATAGGAGCCTTAATAATTCGAATAGGGTTTTGGGGTAGATTATACTATAACTCTACATAATCAGGAACCCCCAACATAGTATAGCCAACTATTAAGGTCCCCGAGCGTAGGAGCATCCGAGTTTCTCTTTGACAGTATATATGCGTGCGCACGGACACGCATTTGTGCCGAACGAATCGAGCTTGAGCCATGGACAAGACTGCATATGCTACGAGTGAATAAGTCTGGGGCGAGTAGACGAAAGAAAGTCCTATTGTTAGGGAAGGTTTACAAGTGCAGGCAAATTGCTTACTCAAGGGTCTTGGAGTTTCCGGGTAGGCGACAGAAAGTCCCAAACGAGCTCAGCAAGTTTGGAGTATGATAGGAAACGAATGCGCGGGCTCAGTGGGTGTTTCTTTTCGGAGCTCTGGGTCCGATTGAAGATGTTTCGTCCGAGCACTATCAGACCAGGACAGTTTTGGTTTCGTAGGGATGCTGCCCAGGGAAACAAGGGTTTTTTGATTCCATCGAATGATTTACGAAGATAGGTCAGGTTTAGAACATCATGCGCTGATGCGGTGGAAAACCCGAACCCCCAAACCCTAAACCCTCAACATAGTTCCCCCAAAAAACTTTAAACCCTGAACCTTAAATCCTAAACCCTAAACCTTAAACCCTAAACGAACCTCTCGTGAGCTCTGCTTCGAGGAGCTCTATGCCGACCCGACCAAGCACTTCACAGACGAAGAGCTCAAGGCTCTCTTGGCGGAGGGTTCGGGGCCGAATTGGGGGTCTTATAAGGGCATTATGGGAGGGTTCCTTTGAGCATTCGTATAAGGGTACTACAAGGTTTTAGGGTTGAGTGTTTAGGGTTTTCGCGTGTTCGTGTTCAGGCTTTAGGGTCTGTTTAGGGTTCATTCAGGGTTTTCGGGTTTGGGGTTCAGGGTTTAGGGGGATTTCGGGTTTTACAGTCTCAGCAGCATAAAGGGATCATGATCATTGCTTGGACCTCCGAGGGTACGTGGGGTCTTAAAGCGCAGTGTTGTGGCAGGTCTTGCAATGTTTCGCAGAAAAGAAGCTGTTCAGTGGTGTCGTGGGAGGGTGGAAGTTGAGAGCTGAGGGTTGCCTTACAGGTTGATCTGCTGTAATACCCTAAACCCTAAACCCTAACCCTATGGCTACGGCTCAAGCTGTTGGCCCGAATTCCTTTGAAAGTCTTGCCCCAGGTCCCTCTCTTTCTTTCACAGGTAGCCATCGCCGCGGACGTGAAGGGGCGGCCATCTGCTCGTCTCCGAGTACCTCTTCGTTTCCTTGTGGCATTGAGGGGGAGCTGGTGGACGGGCGGCCACTTCTACAGCGACGGGGGCGAGTTTGTCTGGAGCGTGAGAGGACTGTGTACGTGCGGAGACTTCTTGGGCGTTGTGAACTCACTGCCTTGACCGTGTGCATCTGTTACTACGAGTACCTCTTCTTCATCTCCCTCCTTGTGCCGATTGGCTCCTCGTGACCTGGATACTTGATCGTGCACTTCCCCTACCTCCTTGCGCTTGACTTGATCTCCTCTTGCCGCCACGATCACCATGGCTGAGGACACTCATATGGAAGGCGAACAAGGTCTTGCCGAAGAAGTCCCAGGCTCACCGACGGAGCTTGCTGAGTCGAGTGAGGAGGAGAAGACAACTGGTGCCATGGACACTGAGGTGAAGCAGGAGAAGCGGAAGCGAGAAGTGCGTGCAGCTGCGACTCGTGGGCGACGTGGTCGAGGTCGAGATGCTCGGGCAGGAACTGATGGAGTTCACGGAGCAGTCAGTGGTGATCTTGGGACTTCGGATGATGAAGATGAAGAGAGCCCCAGCAAGCGTGCTCAAGTTGGTGATCCACCTCTCAGCGGGAACGAAATGCGAGAGCTGCTGTTTGGGCACATGAAAGATATGAAAGAGGCGTGGAGGACCTTTCAAGGGAGAATGGATAAGGTCGAAGCTGAGCAGTTGCAGCAGAGCCACGAGATGATCAACATTCGGACACGCACGAGCGCCATTGAGAAGGACAACCTGACGATGAACAAGAAGCACGAGACTATGGTCAAGAACATGGAGGAACTTGCAGAGGATGTGCGCAAGATGAAGGTCCAGTTCGACGAGGCTCAACGTGTCCCTCCTCCAGAGGATCGACCCAAAGGTCTTGGGATGAACCAAGCCGCTGAACCTTCGGATCCTTGGGCTGAGTTTTACCGTCGAAAAGAGGGGAGAGATGCCAAAATACCTGGACCTCATGGACAAGAACTTCCTGGAGATCGTGCTGGTGATCGTTCTGGAGACACTCTCTCTGAGGATGAAAAGCGCACGCTGGTTATTGGGGGGTGGGCTCGTGACACCAAACGCACCATCATTGAGACTGAAAGTGCGGTCCTGTTCACCACCGCGGGCATCCAGGAGCTGATCGACTCCCCGAAGCTCGCCATCTATGGGCCGCGACGATCAGTTGGCATGCTCAAGTTTAATCAGCGCCAAGGGGAGAATTTCGCGGACGTCAAGAACCGCATGTGGGAGGTCATTAAACTGGTTGCAAACACGAAGTTTGAACTCGGCAGCACTCGTGAGTTTGGGGAGGTCAAGAACATGTGGGCAAGCTTTGTGAAAACTCGCAACGCCCGGATGAAAAGCGCCCATGTTTCGATGGTGCGACGAGTGTGCTGTGACCTTGCCATGTCGTCCAAGAACGCCGAGGGAGGAGTTAAGAATCTTGCTTGCACTCAGTTCGCGGCATACGACTGTGACTGGTCTTTGGGGACGATTTGGTCGGGGAGCTTCAAACTTGCAAGCGCAACCCACAAACAGCCACGAGAAGCCGAATGCATACTTATGCCCGGCGGCTGGGTGGCACTTGATGCCATCTCGGGAGTGACAGGATGCTCTACCTCTGAGGCCAAGGCGGCCTTTGAACTTGAGCTGTGACGGGACGAGAACAGCGGTTTCACCCAAGAGAATTCAGATACTGATGCCATCGGGGCGAGTTTCTCCCAAGGAGTACAAGTTCGTTCTTCATCCTCTGCGTGTGCAAGACATAGGTGGGGCAGGGTGGCTCAGTGGAATCTTGCAGGACAAAACCTCCGCGAGACCGACGTCGCAGTGAGTGATTCTGAGATTGTGCTTGTGCAAGAAGTTGCAAGGGGAAAGGAAGGCTGGAGTTGTGAAGATACCGACAACTTCCACTGGATCACCCATCGTCATCATGACCAATGGAGAGCTACAGGGATCGGCATTGCCACTGACCGCCTTGACTCTATCATCCATAAGGTGGCCTCTCCTCGAGGAGTCTGGATCTTGGCCAGAATTCACGGGCTGGGGAGAATTGTCTGTGGTAGTATGCACGGACACACTGGAGTCACAAACGCGGTGTATCAAGGCGCCGTCCTGGAATTCTTCTCGAAACTTCCGGCAAAGTGGCGCCAGTATCCTCTCCTTTGCGGCATAGATGCGAATGAGGTCCCGAAATGGGATGAGATTGACGAGCATGTCCTTGCAGTAGGTCATTGTTCTGAAAACCTGAACGTCCTACTTGATGAAGTCACAAAGAATGGCTGCCGAGCAGTCCCCCCGTTCTTTGGCCAGAGATGCCAACCTACACATTTCCCACGAGATGAAACCAGAGTTGGCAGACAGATTGACATGCTGATCACTCGCAGTCTCCATTGCCAAGATGTCGTCATTGAACCAGATCGCCGATACGTCATCAACACCGATCACGCGTTGCTGCATGCCGAGATTTTCAATAATGTCAAACCCCTTGCGCGACGTTGGGGGAATGATTCTAGAGCTCGCTGGGTCCATAGTGCTCTTCCGGACACTGTCATTGTGGATGAAGAGGACCTCCAGACACTAGCCGGGGACTACACGCGTCCTCGCCGAAGCCTGGCTTATCATGACAGTGCCGACGTGAAGGACATGATTCAGCAGGCCAAACGGGAGAATTGCAGAAAGACTTGGAAAAGAGTTCATCGCTGTCGTCGACAAGACCGTCGCACGTGGGAAACGCAACGTCTTCAGCGGATTCTAGTCGGAGGATGGGAGGACTTTCGAGCCTTGCAGAACGAGAAGAAGAAGAAAAAGGGATGGTGGGGACAGATGCTGCAATCACGCAGCTCACAACAACTAACGGCTGAAGTCAAAGATCATCTCGTGAACAAGATGGTCAGCCCTTGCATGCATGATTGGGATGAAGTCCTTCAGCGTCGAATCGAAGCACTTCCTTCTCCCTCTGAGTCTTGCCCATTTCAGCCGTTCAGTCTCCTTGAGATCCGAACCGAGCTGCAACAGATGAGATGCCGAAGTGCTGTGGGACCTGACGGTATCAGTGTCCATTTGCTCCGGGAAATCGCAAGCCACGATACTTTAGCTCCCCAGCTGCTTGATCTTGTGAACCACATTGTGAGGACGCAGGAATCCCCGCGCAGCTGGGCGGTGAGCTTCCTGGCGCTATTGGCCAAATGCAATGAGCCGACCAAAGTTGGAGAGTTAAGGCCCATTTGTGTGAGCTCTGCATTCAACAAACTGGTTAATCGCCTGGTGTGCAGTCGTGCTCTCCCTAAATTGAGACGGGGCTCACGAATTTCCGCCTGTGGGAGTGGGAGACAAGCAGCAGACCTCATCGGGAGTGTGTCCCGCATTCGTGATGTCGTCCATGAGTGGCGATTGCCTTGCCTGCTCTGCAAGTTGGACGTTGCAGGTGCATTTGACAGAGTTGACCGTCGTAAGGTCGCTGATCTATTATGCAGCCGCCTCGAGAACGAAGAGATTCCGGCTGAACTTCGCTATCTCCTGTCGCAATTACACAGCCATGAGCTAGTTGGGAACGTTCCGGGAGGACATTCCATCCGTCTTTCACCAAACAACGGAATAAAACAAGGTGCACCTGAGAGCGCCGAAATCTTTGGACTCCTGGTTGATTCCCTTCTTTCTGAACTGGTGAGATGTGACAGATGGCAGCGAATGGGAGGACTGTGTGAGGATCTGCTGGTCTCCTTGCTGTTCTACCAGGACGATGTTTTCCTAGTAGACAGTGACCTGACGAGGCTCATCAAGAAAATTCGGATTGTTGACCGATGTCTTGCTCAAGCTGGACTACGCCTTGCAACAGAGAAGACAAAGATTGTGGCTAGCCCGGAATACACTGGTGCCCGCTCTGCGAAAGTCGGGGAGGACTTCTACCAGATTGCCACTGATGACGAGTCCCTGAAGGTCCTCGGTGTCAATTTCTCCTTCTGTGCTGGACCCAGTCAACAGGCACAAGAGCTTCTGGGTCGTGCGCGGGCTGCGGCGGCTGCACATGATGACATTCTCCGGGCCCATGGTCCTTGGACCAAGAAAATCGACATGATCCGCTGCCTTGTTGAGTCCCAGTGGTCGTGGACCGCGGGAGCTGTGCACTGGAGTTCCCAAGATTTAAGTGCTGCCAACACAGCCCAATTACAATTACTTCGGCGAGTCTTCGGCATCAGACGTCTACAAAGCGAGACATGGGTGGACTGGAACAAGCGATCCATACGATTTTGCCGAGTCTGGCTTGCCAACAACGGCTACCAGCGCTGGAGCACAAAGATACTGTCGATGCAGCACAACCTGCACGGTCATTGGGCACGTAGAATAGAGCATGATCGTGATCGGGATGAACTCTTCCCAAGTCTACCGATGCAGGCTCTTCTTTGGCGCAGCACTCACTGGTGGAGATTCCAGCAATCACTTAGTGACTCGATTGGAATGCGCCATCCGGGGAGATTCTACGCCTCCAACCCCGAGCGACAAATCTCAGAAGCACATGGAAGTCTTTGGCACGTTCTGGCCCAAAATCGGGCTGAATGGTGCACAGCGAGAGCGACATATCTCCAAGCGTGGGATGTGAAATGGTCTAGCGGCCGACAGCTTGCACTACGTTTCTGAGTCATTGGGATGAGCCTTGTGAAGCCTGACATGTGCTGAGTAGGTTCCTCAATTGCCTCAGACTATCTCTTTTACCTCGTCTTCTTTCTGTCTATGCCCCTCTTGTCAGACATGTTTTACTACGACATCGCGAACTGATTTGAACCAACTGGTGATGTGATCTTCGGCATGTGACCAGGCCCTCAGCATGGCTGACACGAAGTCTGCTTGCACTCTGTCTGCTTCGCTTGAACGTTGAGAACTGCGACCCCGCAAATAGCTGGCTCGAGGTCGCACCGGGACAAAACCTTTCCGCCTCCCCAGCCTCCTCATGATGGCAACATCTGTGCGGTGCCCATGCAGCCTCGCCCTGGTGTTCATCTTGCTCTTCGTCTTCTTCGGCAACTTCAATGGCACCCTCTGGGACGAGGATGAAGTGTGGGAGAATTCTGGTGCCTCATCGTCTTCATCGCGCCCCTCCTTGCCGTTGCCGCCTGCGGTGATGACAACATGGACTCATCAGCAACAGTGCCAGTACATGGCGGCTGGCTGGGATGAGAATGTGTCGCTGGCTGAACAACTCCAGGATTCCATGGATGTTGTCCTGCCTGGCGAGTTCCCCCTGCAAAATGGAGCTGGTGAATCACCGGAACCAGAAACTCTGCCTGTGCCATTCCGGAACGAGATGGTTGACCACCAGAACGGCGGCACGCCACAGACCCTTGCTGTTCTCCTACATGATGGACGAGCTCTGCGCGGAGGAGACCCACAACCTGCTGCTCCTCAAGCACCCGGCCGTGATCCCTCCACTTTGCTGGTGGCAACCAGAACACAGCATGGAAAGGGAGAAGTGTCCTTGGATGCCCCGAACACAATGGCCCCAACAACGTCCTCGGGAAGATCTACCTCGTCGTCCTCGTGGCAACAGGCTCCTTCTGTGGTGGAAAACCCCACGTCGTCGGGAACCTCAATTTCCAGACAAGAACCTGACCCCTGGGGAAGTTCCTGGGCGACTGACGCGTCCTCTTTAAGTGCATCGGAGCCCACAGGTGGATGCGACGGACTCCCAGATGACCAAAATGTCCACGAAAATGTTCCCAGCGTTGTTGATGGCATCACTCGGCGCTTCAACCGGCCACGCGCAGGACGAGATCGGTGGCACAACGCGGATGGTTCAGTGCGTAACCGCCTACAGGAACGCTTGGCCAGTGAAGCTCGCTTGGGAACCATCCAAGAAGAAACACCGCCGCCCTTTGAAATCCTTGGTGCACATCAATGTGGAGAAGGCCATGTAGTGCAAGCGAAGACCTTTTATGGAGAGCCCTTTGCAGTATGGTCCAGTGGCATGGGAGCCACTTCAGGAGAACCTACAACGGCGGATGGAGACATGGACCATGACAATGCGGACACTACGGATGCAGCAGATACTGGAGGCACTACATCGATGGAGGAGGCCTCGTCCTCTGATACCGCTTCCACTCCACCCGCCGAGGGCATGGGCTTTTGGCGACATGGACAATGGGTGCCACGTGAAAGAACAGCGCTTGAGCAAAGAAGTCATGTTGGCGGGAATGGAATGCAGCGTTGGCTTAAGCAACAACGACGCATGAAGGCATACTTCGAAGGCAAATGGCGACCCGCCTGGCTACAGAACTACATTCAAGAACGAGATCTTCGTCGCGGAGCAGGTGGTAACATGGAGAATGAGGAACACAAGACTGCCACAACGAGACCAAGTGAAACGTCAACTGCAACCACGACTGGCACGGAGGAGGAGCAGACCTGGGACACCTGGAACACTCACTCGTCTGGCTGGATGTGGAACTCGGGAGACCATCAAGCAGGGTCGTCGTGGACAGATCAAACTACCGACTCGTCCTTGTCCTCATGGAGCGATTGGTCTGATGATTGGTGGTGGTGGAGACGGAGCTGGAGCGAGTGGGATGAAATGGCATGGACTTCGTCAACTTCAACATCCACTACGTTCTCATTTTCTTGCACGTCCACTACGTCCTCATCTTCTTGCACGTCGTCGACTTTGTGCAGCTCATTACCTGTGACCTCGGGATCCTCGACATCGACGTCCACGCTGGCAACTGTTCCGGGAGGAGGAATGCAAGGAGGGGCGGATGGATCTACCACGGCGTCCACAACGTCCCAGGGTGAGTTGCCTACGATGCCTCCTAACTGGGGGCTCTTCCCGGAGGTACACCCTGTGGGAACGCAACCTCCTTTTATTCCAAGGCCTCCCAGCGACTCCGAGAATGACACAGAGGATGGTGAAGCCTTCAGCTTTATGCAGCTAACGAATGCGGAGAGACGTCGTTTGGAGGAACGTGGTGTACCACAGGTGATGGTCCAGCGGGTCGAGAACCTTCTCCTGGCATTAGACAGGATGCAGTCGGAAGGCCGCGGCGCTGAGGGACGGTGGGCGGTGGGATGCCTGCACGCACGACTCATCGATGGCATTGACGCGCTGGAGGCTTTACACACGGTCATTGCCCGTAGATTTATTCCACAAGGATATCTCCCCGTACGTCGTGTACCTCAGGCCGAAGAAGATAGATGGCGACTTTTCAATTGGGCCCGCAATTACGTGGACCTCTTCGTGCAGACGCTGGAAAGGTGCTTGGATGTACGTCTCCAACCAGCAGACACGGTGGTCTCTCCGATGGCTCCAGCAGACACAACAGAGACACATAGCATTGTCAGTGCTGATCAAGAAGTCTCTGGGGCTGGATCCTCGACAACAGCGGCCACGAGTTCTGCCAGTGGGACGAGACGACGGGCCACCAGACGTAGGGCACGAAGAACAAGATCAAGGAGCCCAACGGGCACATCAGTGCACTACCCCACCATAGATAGTGACCTGATCGTCAATTCTCATGGGGAGCCGGTGTCACCACTGTCCTCGACTGCGGGCCCTTTTGGACCACCTCCGCCCCAGCCGGTGAATGCTCCAACAGGAAGCCATGACATGGGAACGAGTATGACATCGTCTTCTTCGGCACCGCCACTGGCGCCTACTGAGCTCCTGGGCATTTGGCGTGAACCTGAGCCGGGTAGTGATGAGGAACCTTTCGCGCCACCCTCGTCGACTTCGACCACCACTCTGGCTGCTGCCTCGTCCTCCTCATGTGTGGAACCACTGGGACAACCTGCTCTGGTTGAAGGATCGCTGGTCAGCGCAACATGGGATGGCTTTAACTCCACCTGCTTGTGGTCGTCAACTACCTCTACAACCTCGTCGTCCATGATGACGACCCCTCAGGGGAACGTGCCTCCTGGAATTCTGTGGCCATCCGATGTCGTTCGGGACGAAGTGAATGTGAACCTTGTACAGGGAGGACAAGTTGATACAGTGGAACTTCTGCGTCGCCTACTTGTTCGCCAACGACATCTACAGCATCGTCACCGCCTGATTATGACAGCAATGGAAGAGGCCCTGCGGTGGATCAATCAGCCGTTGGTGGCAACTCCACTGAATGCTGGCACGGCTGAACACAATGTCATGCAGGTGGTTGAGCATGAGGCGTCCTTTGGGTCAGGACCGAGCAGCTCTGCTGGGTCTAACACAGTCTCCACACCGTCCACAGTTCTGGCTCCGGGTTTTCCGTCCTCGGTCGATGAACTACGAGCTGCTCTCCCCCCGCGACCAGATCATGTGCTTGTGGGATACAGACGACGTGCCTGGCGAGAGAACGCCCGCAGGGTCTTTCGGGATGAACTCGACTACGTCCCAGAAGGTCATTGGCCGCCTGAGGATGACGATCAGCTCTTCATTGTTCAGCAGGATGAGTCGACCGCGATTCCCAACTGGCCTGATGATGAACGACGACCACGACCAGCAGAGCTAGTAATGGGAGAACGTGGAAGACGTCGTCATGAAGTTCGTCGTCCCCCTCCTCGACTTGACCGTCGACTTCGCGCAGAACAAGATCGAGCTCGAGAACATCGTGGGCATCAGGTTGGTCGACAATCTCGTGGAAATCTTGTTCATCAAGAACCTCCTGTCGTGTCGTCTGCTGCCGCCAGTACTACCCATGCCTCTTCTTCCAGTCGTCGCCGTCGGGCAGCTGCTTCTCAGTTTGCGGGAAGTTCGGATCGTCCTGATGTAACTCGTGAGCGTAGCCGAAGCCGTGATGAATGAGTGCGGTGACGAGTGAGTCCTGAAGCTGATGTGAGGGCACCACTTTGCCGAAGCCTGTTTTCGTTTGCCTCAATGTGGCAGCCGATCTAGTGTATGCCCTTGTGGTGGGCTCCTTCGACACTCGTGCAGAGCAGAAAGAGCCATTGCACTTAAAAAAAAAAAAAAACCCTAACCCTAAACCCACGATGACCGGCTTTCGGTTCCTGCTGCTGCTTCTGGCCCTGGCATGTAGCTTTTCTCGTTGCTGACATTGTATGTTGAGCCGGCTGGAGCAAGCACAGTAGCAGGGACCTCCCCAGTAGCTAGATAAGTGGCCGGTCTTCTTCAGAGCCTGAATCGCATGTAAGAGAAGGGCTTTGGACAGGGTGTCCGAAGGCCAAGGCTAGTTCGGTTGTTTTGGGTGGCAGAGCTTTTGGTTTCCCTTTTTCAGGAGGCAGGAATACAGCGGCCTTCATAGTTAGAACAGGGTTTGGGGAGCAAAATATGAATTAAAAAAAGAAGGAACCCTCAGGACTAGTACTGGTATTCGTTCAGGCTTCTACATCAACAAGTTTGCCGGTGATTCGACCCTAAACCCTGAACTTTAATCCGATTGCCCATCCCATACTCCCGGAAGGAGCGGGACGCCAACATCAAGCCTGGCGAGGAGGCCCGTGCATGATGCTGCTGATGATGGTGATGATGATCATGTTAGTGCCACGTTGCGGAGGATGGTCATGATGAGGATGATGAGCAGGATGTTGATGATGATGATGATGGTAAAGCACGAAAGGAGTGGTTCTCATCAGAGTCATCGTTGTCGGACCAGGGGTGAAGGGTTTGGGCCTGCTGAAGATGGGCTGTCTCCAGATTTTTGCGGCCAGTCAGATGCGAAAGTAGAGGTTGAAGCATGCAGGCTGGAACCTACATCAATCCCACACCTCGGCATGCAAGCATAAGCCCGAACGTCTTAAGCCGAAGCCCCAACACCTGTCAACCCCCCAAACACCTGCCCAAAACTCTCCAGAACCCAACCCCCCCCCCGCCCAAGAGTCCCGAACCCTTACATCCTAACCAGTAAATCCAAAACGATGCTCTGTAGACTTCGAAGAGCCAAGGCCCAGTGGTGCCTTTTCGACCCAATGATCAGCGCCTACTACGGCAAGCTCTATCAGAAGACAAAGACGCTTGGCCAGTTTTTTGATCGGGAGCTTGGGGCCCATACTTACCCTAAACCCTAAACCCCTAAACCTCTAAACCCCTGAACCTTAAACCCTAAACCCCTGAACCCTAAACCCCTAAACCCCTGAACCCTAAACCCTAAACCCCTGAACCCTAAACCCTAAACCCCTAAACCCTAAACCCCTGAACCCTAAACCCTAAACCCTAAACCCTAAACCCCCAAACCGTCTTAGTTACGGGTTCAGGGCCCAGGCCGTTTCGCTTTCAGGCTAAGGATGGGACCTCAGGGCTTCTGGGCTTTCAGATTAAGAAATGGGAGTCTCCGAAAATTAGGGGGGTACCTTTAAAGGGTTCCTTTAAAGGGGTACTATAAGGGGTACTATAAGGGTTTGTTCTATAAAGGGTTTGGGGTTTAGAGTCTCCGAAGAAATAGGGTATCATATGGTGGGACCCTTGTAATAAGGATCCTACTACATAGGGTCCATACTAGGGTCCCCTATTTTCGGAAATTTTCAAACAGGGATTCTTCGCCACTGAGCACTGAACCCTGGGGTTTCCCTTGTGGACTGCAGCGGGGCTTGTGTAGAGTGAATACCCGCCTTCGTATAGTCAGTATAGTATAGTCGCCCATGAACCTCGAACTAGGTGGCAATTTGGGAAAAATTGTTAATTTCCCTTTTGTGGTTATCTATTCATGAATACTTGTCAGAGCCCCAAAACTACAACCCGGTTCCGGTTCCAGTAAAGCCGGCACCAGGAAGAGTACCCTAAACCCTGAAGTCCATGTAAAGCCGGCGCCAGGAAGAGTGAGTACCTCAGCAAGCAGCAGCTGTTTCTGGCTCGGTCCCTCGCGGCCATCACGGGCGATGCGACCCGGCGGGGTTCAGGAACTTTGAGTTTCGGGGTTAGGGCTTAGACTTAGTTGTAAAGTACGTACGAAAACATTAAGGTAGGGTAATATACATAATAAATACAGCAAAAGAGTGAAGACATCAATCAATGGATGGATGCATGGATGGATGGATGGGTGGGTGGGTGGGTCGGTGGATGGATGAATGGATGAGTGGATGAGTGGATGAGTGGATGAGTGGATGAATGGATGAATGGAAACATGGATGAATGGATGAATGGATGAATGAATGAGTGAATGAGAGGGTAAATACACAGACAATTAAACACATACATATAAGGAGAGAGAGAGAGAGAGAGAGAGAGAGAGAGAGAGAGAGAGAGAGATTTTTAGATAGATAGATAGAAAGATATAGATTTACAAGTGGATGTAGATCGGTATATCCCAGTTGTGGTAACTTAGATTGCGGTGCTGGGTTTACTGGGTTTTAGGGGTTGATGGGGTTTCAGGCTCTAGAGTATGGTGAGAAACGGGGTTTGGGGTTGCAGGGTTGAGGATTGACGGGTTGTTTTGTGTTTTATGATGTAGGTTTGTATGCTCTTTTTTGGGGGTGTGGAATTTGTTGGACTTCATTCTTGGGCTTCAGGTTGTAGCATCGAAGGTTCCTTTCAGGTCATTGCTGTTTACCAGTATTTGGTCAGGTTTTTTGGGTTTTGCGTGCTTCAGGCTTGTTGGGCTTTGTATTGCGGGCCATGGGCAAGGCAGTCGCCCTGCTCCCCGAATACGGCCTGGAGCCCTGAGTGTTACTTAATCGACTGAAGCCGGCGGCTTTGATATGGGTAGTTGTCATATTTAAGGTCCCTCTTTGGGTGCCCTAAATATTAGGTGCTGTACTATAATAGGGACCCAAAAGGGGACCCTAATTTTGACAACCACCCATATCTCAGAAGCTGCTCTCCATTTGGTTTATCGCTCCGAACACTTTTCCCACCAACACCCTCTGGGAGTAAGCCCTAAACCGTATCAGAAATAATGTAGGAACTTGATTTAAGGAACCCCGCGTGTTTACTAGGGTTCTCTGTATGGATCCCACTGTTTTTGGCTTTAGAGGGCCAGGTTCCTACATGACTTGCAGGTTGGCTCCAGGGTCGGGTCTTTAGGGCTGTAAAGATGCCAAACCCTACTTGGAGGTTCATGGGTGGTTATAAGTAGGGTTATAAGTCCCCTAATATGGGTTATAAGTATAGTTATCCTACTTATAACCAAACTACCCATGAACCTCCAAGTAAAGCCCTGGACCCTAAGATCCCAGGCCCCTCAGCCCTCAAGTCCTAAGCCCTAGCCCTTGCCCTTCCGGCCCTCTATTCCCCAAGTTCTCTTAAGTGCTCTTCTTCCCAAGGAGTGCGAGTTCGGTGCGTGGATGTGCGCCGAGGCCGAAGATGAGTTGTGTACAGGTCCCAGTGAAGCCCTGAGTATATGAGTTCCTTCAAGGGTCCCTTTAAAGGGATCTATAGGGTTCTATAAGGGTATAGGGTTTAGGGACTACTTGGAGGTTCATCGGTGGTTATAAGTAGGGTTATAAGTCCCCTAATATGGGGTATAAGTATAGTTATCCTGCTTATAACCCTGCTTATAGCTACCCATGAACCTCCAAGCATGAAGGTGAAGGCACGAATGAAGATCAGAATGCAGAGGAACACAACACCATGTGTATGGATCGCTCTAGCACCAGAGTCATCCGGTGAATTAAGACGACGTACGAATCAAAGAACTCGTGCGACTACGAAGGGCTGATGCCCTAGCACGGTACAATGTGGATGTGAAAGACTCGTCAGACTAGTGAGAGAACAGCAAAGTGGTAACAAGATCACGAACAGTTAGCAACGGATGTCGTGATAGCAATGGCAACCATGGGGCTTAGCTACATCGCCAGAAAAGCTATTTTTCTAAGGGACCGAGAGACCGAGACGTGACAAATTATTCGAAGCTGCCATGACAGCACTAAGCGCAAACAACTATTGTTCATTTTGGCTGGTGACAGCGACTGTAGTGACGTTGAGAAGGCATCTGTGATCATTGTGCCAATCGGCCAAAATTCTGTTCGCTGAGAGGTGTGTAGCGGCAAGCAGCCGGACAATCTTGGAATGCATCCGGTATACAACGAGCACGAAGCCTGTTCATCTCAAGAGTCACGTCGATTTTGGCTTGCGCGTTTGCAGGCCTACTACTTGGCCAAGGGCAAGTGGCAGCCCAATGACAACACGCCGCTGGTGCCTGGGACAAGGGTTATCTCAGAAGCTTCTCAAACCTGCAGCAGAGCAACACCAGGCACAACGATAACGCTAGCGGCAGGAGTGGTAGTCGTCGCCGTCAGTAGTCTTCGTAGCAGTAGTACGGATCAAACTAACAGCAATAGCAGCAACGTGCGGAAGCACAAGCTCTGATCCTAAGCCGAAGGGCTGCCCCCCCAAACTCTGAAAGGCAACCGGTCTTGCAGCGGCTGGCGTTTTTGTTGCATTTGCTGTCCTGCTGCTGTTGGTGTTGGTAATTAATATGGGTAGTCCATCTTCATTGTTGCAAAGTCTGCGATACTGCTTCTGGGCTCTCAATTTTGGTGCTCGACTTTTCGTGTGTCTGTCTCCTGTTAAAGACTCGTATGTCGTATTCCTGCCTATTGGTAAGATCATGTGTCGGTCCATTATGAGTCTTTACGACTAGTGATGCTAGTACCACGGGTCCGATCAAGATTTGGTTACCCTTATGGTCATCGCCCCTGTGAGTGCTGAGACCCGACAAACCCAAACCCCCAAGCCCCAGAACTGCAAAGCCTCACAGTCTTACCCCTACTAGGCCTGAAGTTGCCTAAACACCTAAACCCCCAAACACCTAAACCCCCAAACCCGAAACCCTTAACCGTAATCACCTAAGGCCCCAAACCCTAAACCCCCAAACCTAAACCCTTAACCCTAAACACCTAAGGCCCCAAACCCTAAACCCTTAAACCCGCAAACCCTAAACCCCAAACCCTAAACCCTAAAGTCGCGCCTTCGGAGGTCTGGACGATGGTCGACCTGAAGATGGCGTTGTACGCCGCTTTGCTGGCAACGGCACGACGAGGGCTGAGGCGGTGTAAGCTTAGGCTTTTTGGGGTCTTCGGGTTAGAGGCTTGGGGGAGAGTTTCATATAAACCCCTACTGACCCTGAGACCCTGCTGAAAGCCTCCTTACCCGAACCAGTTTGCGAAGTGCTCTGCTCCCCCTCTGGCGAAACCGAATGCAAGCAGAAAAGGGAGTTTCTCTCACAAAACCAGAATCAGAAGAGATAAATTATTGCAGCATATACCAGAAGCTAAAAGACTAAGGACCTCAGGTAGTCGGATGTTTAAGACCAAGGCCGCTAGCGCAAGGCACCACATTTTTTGCAAAAAGCTTACCTTTGGTTAGTCGGGAAGGGAGGAATGGTGTACAATTATAACTACGATTACTACCATTCTTCCATTCCCTTCTAAGCAAAGGTAAGAAAAGGGGGACCCCACCTTCTCGAAGCTCCGGTCCTGGGGTTTGGAAGCTGTTGACGAGAAGGAAAGCTCGAAGCCCCCTAAACCACTTGGGTGGTTGTCAAAATTAGGGTCCCCTTTTTGGGTACCCTAAATATTAGGTGCCGTACTATATTAAGGACCCCAAAAGGGACCATAATTTTGACAACCACCCACCTTCCAGCCGTACTGAGATACTGTGAGGAACCCCAGTCACATCCCTGATGCCGCGAAGGCTTGACCCCTTGATGCTCTGAATCCAAAACCCTCAACCCTAAACCCTCCACCCTAAAACCCATCAACCCTAAACCCTCAACCCTAAATCCTCAACCCATCAACCCTAAACCCAACCCCCAACCCTAAACCCTAAGCCCTCAACCCTCAATCCTAAACCCCCAACCCTAAACCCCTAAACCCCTCAACCCTAAACCCTAAGCCCTCAACCGCCTTCGAACACCTGAACCTCAAGTGGGTGGTTGTCAAAATTATAGTCCCTTTTTGGGTACCCTAAATAATAGGTGCCGTACTATAATAGCGACCCAAAAAGGGGCCCTAATTTTGACAACCGCCCAAGTGCTGTAGCCCAGGAGATGGAGATCAGTCTCGGAGGAACAGGTGGGAGTTTCCGAAAATGGGGGGACCCTAATATGGCACCCTAAATAATAGGATCCTTCCTGTAAGGACCCCAAAGTAAGGTGTGGGTTTGGCTTCTAAGCTGGGATGCCGTTTGGGGTCCTTTTTTATGGGCTTTAGGGTTTAGAGTGCTTCTAAGTTAGGATCCCGTTTGGGGCCCCTTTTGCTACCTGCATTAGGGTTTAGGCTTCATGGGTTTGGTTTCTAAGTTAGGATCCCGTTTAGGGCCCTTTTTTATAGGCTTTAGGGTTTAGGCTTCATGGTTTCTAAAGGCTTCAGGCTTTAGGGTTTAAGGGTCCTTTTTATGGGGGTTTAGGGTTGAGGGTCCTTTTTTGTAGGGTCCTTTTGTAGGGTCCCGTTCAGGGTCCTTTCTATCAGGGGGCCGTATATTTTGAGGACCTAAAAACAAGTTTACAGAATGACCCAGGTGCATGCCTGACTCTGAATTGGGGATGCTTTCTGCGGCACCGAGATGAGGGTCTAGGGTGTAAGGTTCAGGGTTTAGGGTCTAAGGTCTATAAACCCGAAACCCTCAACTAGTTTCGGGTTCAAGGGTCATAGTCGACTGCGCCAACATTGGATTTGGGCTATACAAGTACCGCGAATTAGAGTCCTTCGCTTTCCAGGAGGCATCATAAAGACATCCTGCGTTTGGGCAGGTAAACTATCGAAACTCGTCGTCCTCATTCCAGGTCACCTACATTCCTAATGAAAATGTGAGGCTAAGCCCTAAACCCTAAACCGTTAGTCAGAAGGGCCCGAACCTGAAGCCCTCGCCCAGACTCGAAGTTCAAGGTTTAGGGTGTGCTGTAAAGTGCAGTGTTTCTTGGAGTTGAGGCTTTTGGGTTTAGGGTTTACATAGAGATTTTCCACCTTTTGCACCGGCCGGCTCCGAGCTTGCATGCTAACACCCAAACCCCTAGACTTTAGCCTCGACTCCTTGAGCTGGCCATGGGCTTGCAGGAACCCCCGGAACCCTAAACCCTCAACCCTAAACCCTAATTCCTTAAACCCTAAACCCTGAAGCCTAAAGCCTAAAGCCTAAAGCCTAAACCGTAAACCTTAAACTTTAAACCCTGCATCCTAAACCCTAAATTCTAAATTTGGGGGGAGCATCGGAAATTATCGTCATTGATTGGGCCTGTTTGCTTGAAGTAGTGGGCCTATGAAGCGTCCGCTTGATCCTGATTCTAAGCCTGCTGGCTCACGAGCTTCTGCCTTTGCGCCTTTGGGACCTCCGCTTGCAGTCCCAGAGCCCAAACATAAATCCAAGGGTAAAAGGAGGGACCCTTAATAAGGACCCCTAGGTACATACCCTTGATATAGCTAGTATATGCCCATTATATAGCCCATTATAGGGTAGGGGTCCCTCCTTTAAAGCTTCAGCCCCGGCCTGGCACCTCCGTTGCCATCGGTACGCAGTGTGCCAGATGAGCTTCCGACAGGGCGTCCGTTGCCCGTGCCCAAACTGCACACTTGAGAATCTTCGTATAAATCTCTTGAGGCAGCCCTGAAGACAGCTTGAGGGCCCGAATAGCTTTTTAACCCTAAGCACTACTTGGAGGTGTAGTCACATAGTTCTATCGTTGAATAAGGTAAATAGTACAAAATACATAAGCAGATAAAGCTGCATCCTTATATATAAACAAACCAAAAACCCGAAATATAGCGGCCTAGGTGGGCGAGGTTGTCAGTTGGTTGGTAATTTGGAGAATATGAAGCCCCAAGAACCGCCAGGCTCAAAAGTCTTAGGTCAGATACCTCCAAGGCATACCTCCTTAGAAACCACCTCAAGCTTCAACCCTGTTATACCAAAAATTCCTAAATAGCGCTAAACCCTAAACCCTAAACCCTAAACCCTAAACCCTAAGCCCTAAACCCTAAGCCCTAACCCTACACCCTGAACCCTGGAGCCTCTTGCTAATGCAGGTCTTCCTTCCTCGAGCTCGTGCGCAATTCTCTGAGCACCGGCTACGTGCATAGGCGGCTGGAAAGGACATTCCACGACAGTCCATGATAGGGTTCTTACAGTTTTGGATCTTTTGTGTAGGGTTTCGGGTCAGTTAGGGTTTCGGAGTTTGGGGATAGCGTTGGGGGTGTGCTTTCTGGTGTTCCTCAGTCCGCCCTTGCTTCCGAACGTTCGGTCGCAATCTTAATGTGCAACCTACCTGCATATGTAAGGAACGTAGTGTTGATTTCGATCATCCGTCGGTTTGGCCTGAGCCCGGCACCCTGATGTAAACCAAAAGGCCTGACAGATTCACCGTAGATTTCTTGGGAGTTCTTCGCACTGCAAGCAGCCATGAGGCTGGGAGCTTCCGTATTCCGGGGTCTTGGTGTCAGGGTCGTGGCATTCCAGCTCTTCGAGGTTAGTTCCCTTGGTCTGCTTAGAGATGAACCTATACCTCAACCAGGAGTTGGATAGGCACGGACACTTAGAGGTTCATGGGTAGTTGTAAGTCGGATTGTCAGTCTCCTAATTTGGGTTTGGGTCATAACTACGGCTATCCTACGTGTAAACCCTACTCAAAACTACCCACGAGCCTCTGGGGCAAAAAGTCGAAACAGGTTCCCGGCATGAGCTGCAGACGGCTAGCAACGGCAACTGGGGATTGGTTCGTCGAATAGAGGGGAACTTCGTTTAATTATGTCAATAGAGATTCAGTGTAGTTGAATATAGTCCGTGTAAACAAGTGGTATTATCGCATATTTCTACTATGGTCCTTCCCGCTGCCTGCCCAATTCCACGACGCGCCCAGAGGGCCGTTCAGCCACTCGTTTTCCAAAGCCACCCCGTGCGCATGCAACGTTGAGAGCACGAAGCGGACTTGTAAAGCCCGCGCTCCAATCTCTACTTCCCTGAACCCCAAACCCTACGACTCGAAGAATGAATCCTGAGCCAGAGGCCCCAAACTTCGAGCCTGTAGCTTAAATCTGAGTTTGGCCGCAAAACCCAGCCATAAACATCCTAAAACGTCTCCGAAATTTCTGTCAAGCGAACCTGGGGTGGCCCGTTCTTGCCTCCCTCGTGCCACACCAGTGGGTTGCAGACCTTGCTTTGGAAGGGCCAGCTAAATCAGCCAGCCCAAATCGTTTGCGTCAGCAAACTTAAATCCAAAGGCATGCTGCTTAAGCCCTCGGCCCCAACCCCTCAAGACCCTAAACTTCGCTTCTGTCCGCCAGCGCATTTCCGGTTTTAGCTTCGAATTGAAAGTCCATCGTGTGTTGTACGAGACGTGCTGGCCGTTTCGTCTTCCGCAGATCACTTCAGTTAATATAGGAGCCGGATTATGTATCTTTCTGTTCCTTAAGGTTCCTGAATATAAATACAGGATATTCTAGTCATGAAGGCCCTATGTTTAACCTTGGTCCAAACCACTCGCTTCAATTTACTTCAGCCCGAAATCGTCGGGACATACAAAAGACCCAGGAAATTTGACAGTTCGAAAACCGAAACACAATGACCTGAACCCTACGCCCGTCAGTTGCTAAGCTTAGCTGAGCTGCGATTCATCGAGGTTCAGGGGCTTGGGTTTCAAGGTGGCGGTTTAGGGGTTGTTTCGTTGGAGTTTGTCTTTGCCACAGGGAGTACCGGTGAAGGGTCGTGGTTGCTTCAATTTTTCCCATGGTTGGATGTTTTTCAGTCTTGCCCATAGCCTGTTGGTACTAGCAGGATGTTTTTTGGGACACGGATGTACAAGCCATCCAGGCTATCCCTGACACCACACGCACCCTAAACCCCAATCGTCTATCTGAAACCCTAAACCCGAAATGTTAAACTCTGGTCCTAGACCATAAGCCCTGAAGTGCCCGCCGCCGCTTCTGCAACCTGCTTCCGGTGGTTTGGGATGGTCTCTGGTAGAAGCGAGGCCGAGGAGCCAGGACACCATGCCACCTCAAAGCCTTTGCATTCTAAAGCCAACAAAGGGGGGTTCTTGGGTTTAGGGGTTCCTTTTTTTGGGCGGCCCTGTTCAAAACTGGCCTACTCTTTGCGATTTTCGAAGCGGGTTCGTATTAGGGTCCTCGCTCCTGGAAGCTCGCAAAAAAAAACATTAGTCACACAGTCCAAGCAGCCCTAAACCCCAAGCCATGCAAATAAGAAATCGAACCGTTCTTAAGCCCCGTACCAAAGCATGAAATGCAAAGTTATCCATAATCCAGAAAAAACCCTCATCTTTACTAGTCACTCAGACCTCTATACCGAGAACCCTAAACCCCAAATCCTAAATCCCGAAACCCTAAACCCTAAACTGTAGGAACCTGATAAAGAAACCCTGGGCCTACAACCTCCAAGGATTCATATAAGGAACCCTAATAAAGGCCGAAGGTTTCTTGATCAGGTTCCTACATCAACAGGTTCCTACATTAAACCCTATACCTGGGCTTGGAGTACCATACTTGAATACTTTTTTTCGGTGCAAGTTCCTTAAAGGAACCATTATGAAATAAAACTCTGTACTTTCTTCTCCCTGGTTACTTCAAAGTCCAGTTATTATTATACCCTGAAAACCGTTAATCCCAGCCTCGGCCTGGTAGGTTCTTATTGTAAACCTCAATATGGAGTTTACAGGGACCCTACAAAAAGGTAGGTTTTGGCAGGTTAAGCTATACCCTGAAAACCCCTTAATCCCTAAACCCTAAACCCAAAACCCTAAACCCTAAACCCTAATCCCAGACTCGGCCTGCTTGTCGGCAGATTGCTGAGGATCGTTTTGAGACAGCTAGCGATTGTAGCGGACGCATCCACGGAGGGACGTGACACCCCAGACTTCAACCGAATATAGGGGGGCCTCAATTAACAATCAGAGAAGGGTTTGGGGGGTATTATTTCCGTAATAAGGAGCCCCCAAAACCCTTAGAGTAGGGTTTGGGGGTATTATTTCTATAATAAGGAACCCCCAAAACACTGTTTATTAGGGCTCCTCAGTAACCTCTAGTAGAAACCTTACAGGCTAGAGGTTTCGCCCGAGAGCTCGCCTGACATGTGCTTGAAGGGATGGGTTGATTTCGGCCAGCATTGAAAACATTGTCGACATGACTCTAACGGGTGAGGCGACTTGCTACATATCACACGTCCGACGAAGCATAGTGGTGTCCATTCTTGACAGGCACCGGTACAAGTAGTGCAGAGTCATGATGCCTCGTGCTTCGGTTGACCATAACTAGTTGAGTTGAGCTGCTTTGATTCTGTTACTGACTGGCATAACTGTCATTGAATAAGGGCTTTCAAGGTTCCTGGACAGGTCAACGGCTAGACTCAGTCTCAGTCCCAAGCCACCCGCCCAAACCCAATTTTAAGTCACGGTCCCTCCGCTGCTTCTTGCGACTGTGAGCGACAAAGACTTTGTGCGTCTGGTTGGTTTAGGGTCTTAAGCTTCGGGATTTTGGGATTCAAATTTCAAGGCTAGGAAAGATCTTAAAGACTAAGCCCGAGGCTCGACACCTTCTACGGCGTACAAGAACTATGTGGCAGATCAGAGGCAGTCCTACGATACAGAAACTGTAAGATGGCAAAGACCAGGGCAGCAGCAAGAGTAAAAGCGAAAGTGCTGCTGCCAGAAGGTCTTAACACGATCAGTCATGGTGATAGGCAGAAGGCGGCGATAAGTTTCAATTGTACTTCTAGCACAGGCTAGTCGGAATGACAAGGCCGATCGTGTCGGTGGTCAGCGGCACCAATGTCGCCGTCATCACTGCCTTCCCACTGCCTCTATCACCACCATGAATGCAATCATCTTTGTAGCGATCATCACCACCGCCACTACGAACAGCATAGCCAGCATAACCATCACGACTAGTTGCTCGTGCAACTGCTTATGCTAATGAGCTGGTACATTTCTGTTGTCTTTTCTGTTAATGCTTTTGCTGCTGCTGTTGTTGCTGCTCCTCTGCCTGCTCCTTGACGTCCATTGCTGCCGCTACTCCTGCTCCTGCTGCCTCTACCAGTCCTGCTATTGCTAGCGCTACTGCTTCGGCTGCTACAAATAGTGTCTACTACTACCAGTAGTATATAAGGGTATATAACAGCAACACTACTACCGACCGCAGGCGAGAAACGTCTGAGCAGCCATCCGAAATCGAGCACAAGGAACTCATGCTGCGCAAGTAAGCATCCCAGATCCTAAACCCCAAACCCCAAACCTTAGACCCTAAGCCTTTAACCTCTACACCCCTAAACCCCAGATGGAATGTGGCTCAGGTCACGTCCCTGGACGTCCATCTGCGTCCTGCGATACAGCAGGCGTGGGGTTCAGGCTTTAGGGTTCCGTCGCTGGCAGGCTGTACTTGGAGGTTCTTGGGTAGCAAAAAGTAGGGTAGGGTTTCTAGGATTCCTTTAAGGGATCTACAAGGGCTTTATACCGGTTCTATCATTAGGGGAGGTTCATGGAGGGTTTACAAGTCCCCTGCTACAGGCTGTAACTACACTTATCCGTATCCTACGTATAAACCCTATTCATAACTACCCATCAACCCCCAAGAAAGCCATGGAAGATGAAAGCTCCAGAATGCACAGGCAAGGGAATGAGCGGCATTGTCCGCAGTTGCTCATAGGTTCAAAGGCAGGCAGTCATGTCTCGTACAGATAGTGTCAGAAAACCAGTGCCGAAGATGACTTCGTTGCTGGTGGGAAAGTTATCAACCGTACACCCGGATGTGTATCAGCAGTACTACGTCACTACGTAATACTACAAGAAGAGCGCGACCGGCAAACATCACAGCGATCTGACCCTAAATGCTGAGCCCAAATCATCAACTCCCAACCCCAAAGCCAGTCCAAAGCTCAAATGCCACGGAGCCTAACCCCCTAAACCCCTAAGCCCCTAAGCCCCTACACCCCTAAACCCCTAAACCCCTAAACCCCTTAACCCTAAACCCTTAAACCCCTAAACCCCAAACCCCTAAACCCCTAAACCCTAAACCCTCAACTCCCCCGCACCCGCCTCGCTGCAAGTAGCCAGGCCAG